TCATTTAATTGAAGAATAAACCTAGGTCTAAGTTAATATAAAAAGAAAACTAATTGTTTTAGGAAATTTTTTTTGGTGTTTCATTTAGAAAAATGGTTTTATGGTGTTAGGTCATCTCCAAGCAATGCAATATATCTAAAAATATACTAAAAAACTCAAAATTAGGAAATTTGGTGCCTGAGCTGACACGGGCACCCGTGTCAGGACCTGTTCAAGCTTCTTTACACACTTTTGTTCCAGCCAAAATGGCACGGGCCGTGTCGTGTGACACGGGGACCTGTGTCAACCCCTGCCCTGCCTACTCTGCATGTTTCTGACTGACACGGGCCGTATCGTGTGACACGGGCACCCGTGTCAGCCCCTGCCCTACATTTTTGTTAAGTTTTCCAACCCAGCTTAACTGACACGGGCCGTGTCGTGTGACACAGGAACTCGTGTCATCCCTTGGCCTGGCTTTTTGCTAAGTTATGTCTTTGACCTGTCTTGTTGTATCCTTTTGAGAATGAAAGCAAATGATGTATGGATAAAGATATTGCAGTTTGAGAAAGTTTACCCCTTGAAGCGAAGACTTTAGAACACATACAAATGTTTCCGGGTGCGAAGTGGTGATTGATCGAGCTTCTTTGAACCTTCTTGAAGTTGTTATAATCCTTCCTTTATGCTGAAAGTACCTGAATCACTCCAACCAAGTCAAGTTGCAAAGTACCGTTTTGAGTTTGGAAGACGGTGATAGTGATTTTGTAGAAGTTGTTCTTGTATTTGAACAACTTCTATATGATGTATATGAAGTATTTGGATGGTTTGTTTGGGAAAAACTTTCAAGGTGTGAGAGGTTTAAAGATTTGGACTTCAAAGTTCAAAAGTGGAGGTTTTATAGACAATTCTATTTTTTTAGAGTATATCAGTTTTTGAGGGCTTGTTCATCTCCTTTTATCTTGCAAATGCTCTCTATTTATAGGCAAGAGGTTTCAAGACAAGGGTTGATCACATTTTCAAAATCACATGTTGCGGCTAGGTTGGATGGTACATGAAGCAAGCTTCAAGATCATAGTTCCAATGCTTTGTACTTTGCTTTATAGAGTTGTTGGACACTTTAAGCATGCTTATCTGATTTTGTGTGTTGAGTGTGTTTAGAAGGAACAAGTTAGAAGCTTAAGAAGAGCTGACTTTGTGATTAAAGCTACTTTGCAAGAATGGTAATGTCAACTTTGTGCCAAAAATGGAAAGATCACTTGGACAATGGTTAAATCAAATGGACCATAGCTCAAAAGTTTGTGTAAGCATTAAATTATGGTGAGATTTGCAAGTTAGAAGGCATGTAACACACGATTATGCAGCATAACATGTAGATTGAATTATGTGTTCTTCACCAAAATGACATGTAATTCAAGAATGAATGGCCAACTTCATGCCTTTGAATATCCTAGCTTAAGTATGATAAATTCATGCTCTTGAATGTTTTAAAAAGCTTGAAACATTGTCTACAACTTTCATGTTGACCAATTTGGCTAAATCAAATTGGAACTTGATGAATTATTGGCCAAGAAGTTGGGACAAAAACCTGACCAAAACCTGTTGAAAATGTCTCTAAGTGTTGGATAAAAAATGTCATGACTTCATGGGCTTATATCTTCAAAAATGAGAATTTTTGGACATAAACCCTCTAATACAAAGTTGTAGAATTCATCAAGATCTACAACTTTCACATTGAAAGTTTTCTTTGAATCATCTTGTATCTTGGTGAAAAAATGTCATGAAGTATTGAAATTATCAAGTGTAAAAACACTTAGAAAATTTCTAAGTATTGGAACTTTGACTTTTTTGTTGACTTTATTGATTTTCTTGATGATAAATTTTGATATTTTTGTAGGTCTTGATGAATTTTAATCTTTGAATTTTAATGTTGACCAAAAAGTCAAAGTTTGACTTTTTATGTATCGGTTGACTTTTCGTCAATTGATCAAAATTTCAACTATCAAACCTTTGATCCTAAGAATTGATTCGAGCCATGAAATTAGGTCAACATGTTATGTTTGAGTCCTTGGGATTATGTTTCAAGCTATTAGGTCATGTACTAAGTCAAAAGTCGGTGATCAGTCATTCTCAGTCAAAACCATAATTCGTAGGCTCAGTGCTTTGGAGGTGAGCTTGACTGATCAAACCCTTGAGAACCCTTGAGCATTTTGAGAACTTTGGTGAGAAATGTATTGCGAAAGAAGATGACAAATTTTAGGGTACAACAAAGGTAAACATCAAGTAAAACTAAGAAGGGTGAAATCAAGGTCAAACGACCGAGAGATCGGGTAGGGAGTCCGTTATGCGAGGGGAAGGTATTAGCACCGCACACGCCCGTAGTACTCTATGGTATCCACTCATGTTTTTCTAATCATAGGGTGTATTCAAATCTAATTCTTAAGAGCTTAAAAGAAAATTCAAAGAGGGAATGCATGCAAAAGAAAGCACGGGGAAAAGAAGGAAATATTTACAAAGTTTCACTCGACTAAGCCCCGCGACCAGATGCCTACGTAACTCTTTTAAGGAATCAGAGTGATGTAGTTCGGCTCACATGTTTCAGTTTATTTGTGTTTTTTAATGAACAATATTAATTTCTCCTTCTGCCACAGTTCAACCTTTGGAGACTCACGTGTCAGCACAAAAGTGAACTAACATGTTCTACCTAACAAGGTATTTGCAAAGAAAAATGCCCGAAGGCGGATAATGCTACATTCGTGCTCTAGCAATTTAGACATAGTGCCACCCGACCTTTGGGGATTTACGCGTTGTGTTGCATAGAGTAGAATTAATACATCCTTTTGAAATTTTAAATAAAGGCCCAAAGGAGAGAAGGGTTTGCATTGGTTGATATTTTTTACCTTGAAAAAGGATTTGAAAGTTGTTAGATGTTTTATGCATTTGCCAATAAAAGATGTTTTAGTTTTAATGCAATGATGCAAAAAGAAAAGAAAAACATCAAAGGGAGACTATCCTAAATCTATCCCTAATATTATCATACAATGATTAATCCTAAGGTTGAGTTTTGGAAGGGAAATCTCTACCCTACGTTAGCATGCATGGATCACAATCCTAATGTCTATCTTGAATCGCCGCCAAAGGTTGAATCAAGAAGTCCTAAGAGAGCATAGTAAAGGTTCACAACCTAAACCTATGTTTATCTTGAATCACCACCAAAGGGTGAATCAAGAACTCCTAAGGAACATGCCAAAGGTTCACAACCTAAGAAAACATGTACACAAGGATGGAAAGCAAGTAATCAACAAGCTTAAGAGAGCACACACAAGGGAAATGCTACCTAAGTTAGCATACCTAAAACCTAAGGGCGAAGATAACTATCCTATAGGGAACATGCAATGAGACCGAAGTCATTATCTCAATTCTAATTGAGTGACATCATCGATCACCAACAAAGGAAAACGATAAAGTCCTAAGGGAGCATGCAAAGATTGAAGTCGGTTTCTCAATTCTAATTGAGTGACATCATCGACCAACAAAAGAATAAAGCCATGAAGTCCTATGGAGGGGGGCATGCAATGATTGAAGTCTTTTTCTCAATTCTAATTGAGTGACATCATCAATCGTCAACAAATTAAAATGAAAATCCTAAGAGGAGCATGCAAAGATCGAAGTCGTTTTCTCAATTCTAATTGAGTGACGTCATCGATCATCAACAAAGGAGGCAAACACAAGCATAAACATAAATAAGTGTAGAATGTCTGCTACCCGTATTTAAACAGTGACTTCGAGCGCACGCTCTTTATTTCCTACTTCTCACGGTATCTAGAAAAGCAGTAAAATGCGAAAAAATAAACCAAAATCAAAATGATACCAAACGAACAAGAGTTCGTAGCACAACAAGCAAAGCGAAGAAACTCAGAAAACTTCGAGTAAGCTTCACCAAGCAACGGAAAAGAGTCAGAAATCAAATGATGGGAAAGGTAAGCGTTGAAGCATCCATGTGAAAGTAAACCACATGCATCAGAATCATCATGTGATAGTCCTGCACAAGATACAAAACTATATAATGCAAAAATAATCTGCAAATATTGTGATGCGTGGAATCTCCGTTAGAAAGTTGCACAAAATACACTAAATGAGTCAGAAATTAAAAAGGCAATGTAACTCAAAACTCAAGCGCCCGTTCAAGGATCAAAACCTACCACTAATCATTCACTATGATAGGGAAACTGAATCAAGGATACGAAATCGACAAAAACGCGCCAAAATATTCATTCTAATCATGTATTGAATCATTAATTCAACTAATTCCTAAACTAATATAAAAATTATGAAAAAAATATCATCAAATCAGAAATCATCATGCTAAGGCTCATACAAAATTCCAGCCTAAAATCGTACAAGAAACATTAAAAATTAATTGCTAAAAATTTAAAAACAAGATGAGAATTAATGTAGAACAGAGGAGTACAAGGCTGAATCTGGGTGGTGTGCAGAAGCAGGGTGCAAAACTGGATCCCTGATGCTGCAAAGTAAATCTAGGCGCTAAGCCCATTCTCAAATAAGGTCTAATAAGAAATTTTTGTTCTGATGTTGTAGTCTCTAAAAGAAAGTAGAAACGGGCCAGAGTAATGGTGTAACTTCCGCAGGCCCAAGGAAAAATCGAGTAACTCCTAAAAATCATTCCAATTTTTGTTAATTGTATATTCAAATTTATGATTCAATGAATTTGAACAATAAGAAAATGAGTAATATACAGAACACGGTCGTTTGGGAGCTGGATAGGGTTGAATACAACACAACAAGAGCTCTTCCTCTTTGTAGACTTTGGATCCTCAAGCCTTATCACCACCGTGCTAGCGGCACCCATGGTGGTTTGCTATCAGAAATAGCCAATAATCATGTCGATTGCTTCGTCTTCGTCCTCTAAATCCATATCCAAACTTCTTTCTGTTCGATTTCCTTCGTACCAACCTGAATCTACAAGCAACTTCTAAAACCCTAGGTTTCTTAACATTCAAATTGTAATGCTAACGACGGTGAATCTGACTACAAAACCTTGGGAGAAACGCTCCTACGACGCTAAACTACATTTTTGTAGCCAGAAATTAGCTATACAAAGGAAATCACGACCTACCTCACGGCGGCAACTGAGGCGTCCGTACTTCGATGTCAGTACCAATGTTCAGGTATGTCCTATTTCTTTGGAGTGTTCTTCTTATTTTCTTTGCATTTTCCGTTCTTCTTCTCCTGTTTACTTTTGTTTTTGTCTGTGTCTTCTGTTGCGATTCTCCATAAATTTTGATGAAGCGGGATTGTCGCAACTCACTGTTACAGAGAGAAAGAAGAGACTTATGTGGCGCTTTTGTTGAAGCAGAGATGAATGAAACGATGAAGATGACGCAATTGCTTGAATTGTGCTATGAGATGATGATAAAGTTACGGAGAATGATGAAGATTTTTGAGGTTCTGGATTCAGAGAGAAAGCGCATAGAAGAGAGAGCAGAGATATAGAGCTTTTTGTTTTTTGGTGATTCTTTCAGAGATTGAAGAATTTCTGTTTGTGATTTTATGAAATGAATCGTGGGTTCAAGGTGAGGATGAAGAGAGATTTTTGGAGTTTCTTGGTTATAATTATTCTGCAGAAATTGAAGAATGAATTTGAAAGAGGTATGAATCATTTTTTTTATCAATCTGTTAGAGCTAGGAAAAGTTAGTTCAAGGGAATGAATCCTGGCCTTTGGATAGTGATTTTCTGTTAGAAATTTTGATGGATAAGATTGAAATTGATAGGGGTTAGTTATAGTTTTTTTTCCTTTCTGTTATGCTAGTTGGCACTATTAGTTATGTTATTTAGTTAGTCTGTTTAAGAAATTATGTTAGGGTGAAAACTGTTACAAGTTAGTCATAGGGATCTAGAGAATTAGTTAAATTTTGTTAGGGATTTTGGTGATGTGAAAGTCAGTTTGTTGAATGTCAGTTGAAACGGTTAGAAATCATTTTTTTGTTAGTTAGTAATGAGTCAGGGACTGTATTTCTGTTATGGTTTAAATAAAGAGTTGGCTTTTTGGTTGTTATTTTATTTTGGTTTTTAATAGGTGCAGGAGCTGATATTGGTGTGAATTGTTTCATGGTTTTTTCTGATATGTGCAGGGTTAATTGATTCTTCTGTATTCAAATTTACGAACTGTGCTGGTATGGTGAACTTGCAGGTTTGCGGGACTGGTTTTTGTTCAATGCAAAGGGCTAGTTTTCCTGCGGCTTGACTGTGATTTCAGAATCGTTTGGGGGTGATTTAGGAATGAACTGGTCTTCATTGTTTATATGGACAGATTTTGATTGGATTGCATTGTTTTGTGGCATTTAACTTGCACTTGATTTATTAGTGTTAATGTGCAGAGCTATAGAGCAGTATGAGTTTATTACCATGGCAATTGGATGCAGGTTTTGATGATTGGTCATGGAAGTTGGAATGGTACAAGAGATCTTTGGTACGATGTTTGCAAATGAAGTTGAGCCTAATTTTGAGGCATGAATATTTGGAGAAGTTTGGAAGTGAAGATGGAAGGCAAAATTGGATGGAGACTTGATAGTTTAGGATTAAGTTTTAACATAATTGTTTCTTGTAATGGTGATAATATTGTAATTATACTTGGAATTGTAATGACTTGTGATGGTTTGAACTTGGAATTGTAGTCTTGTATGATTTGAACTTGGAATTGTAGTCTTGTATGATTTGAAAATCCCATGATAATTCCTTAAAATATTCAAATCATTTTCTTCCAAATTTAATTTTGAATTCCAAACTCCTTTGACCTTAAACCCATAAAATCCATAGTGTACAACACTTTCTTCAATTGTATCTTCAATAGGTCATGTAATAACAAATTGAATAAACCACCATCTCTCAATGTCTTCAAGTGAATGAATTCTCCTTGTAATTCTTTGCCTCTGGAGCCTTAATTCAACATTCTAATCTCAAACTTGTATGATAAGCAACAAATATTTGAAAGGATGATGGTGCCTTAAACTCTAAGAAACTTGCATTTGCAAGTAACAAACAATTGAGAGAATAACCAATTTTTAATCATAATGAATTCCTTGTTTTATATCTTGTATCATGCTTGAGGGTTTTGTAATTCAATCCTCAAAGGCAACTCAACTTGGTAACCAATGATATTAAGAAAAATGCCTTGAAGAAAATCTTGAAGAAGATAGTTTGATAACTTGAGGATGAACCATAGCTCAAAAGATTCTCCTCTGAAGTATTGACGAAAACCCTAGAATTAACAAATCAACCCTAATTCCACTCAAACTCAACTGAATTTCTTAACCAAAACCCAATCACAAAAAATTGAAACCCTGATCTTCTGAAAAATACAGAGAAATAAACTCTGATTCAAGACCTTGGTGAACTTCGGAGAAGTATAATCCCTGTAACTTGAAGAAAAGATATCCTCAATAACCATGAATTAAAACCCTAATGCCACACTTCACTTCTTGAAGAAGAATATGAAGAATCAGCCTTTATTTGATATGTGTGTCTCAAAACACTATGAAACCCTTGGTTTACACACCCACTAAACTTTTAAAACTCAAACACCTTATTGAATGCAAATGTATGCTATGCTAGTGACTTAAGGGAATATATGCAAATGAATGCAAAAGCCAAAGCCAGATAATAATAAATTAGGAAGACAAATTTTTGGGTACAACAACTATCGAGTCAAACAAGTGGAATAAAGGATCCGTAATCGACCCCCACACTTTCTAGTTTGTGTCGTTCCTAGCTCGCATTAAACGTTGATGTTTTGAAATGTGCCCGTTCTTGTCCATTAAGTCAAATAAAGTGGAAAAGGGTTCGTAACCAACCCCCACGCTTTGTGATACAATGTTAGCTCACGTTTCTTTAAACATTTACGCTCTGAGTAGTTACTCGATGTCGGTGCTTGAGCAAATAAAGTGGAAAGAGTTCCTTACTCCCACTTTGAGATCCATTGGACTCATTTGTTTGTTGCTAGCTCTCACTCAATCTTGTTTTGGCTTCAGCTTGATTTTGTTTGATTGCACTTGTGCTTGTGCTTTTTTTTACACCTTTGTATGTTCTCTTAGTATTCACTTGTTTTATTTTCGATGCAAGTTAGACGTTAGGATTTCAAACCATGCATGATAACATAGGTAGTGATTTCCCTTTCAAACCTTAACTATAGGATCAATCATTGTATGATAATATTAGTGATAGAGTTATATAGTTTTCCTTAGATGTTTTTCTTTCTCTTTTGCATGATTAAGACTAAAACTCTTTTCTAGGAAAATTCATAAAACATTTAATATTTCTTAAACCCTATTTCAATGTAAAAATCACCAACCAACACAGACCTTTTTGTCTTCATACTTTTTCTTTTAAAACATTTTCAAAAAGGACGCGATTCGATAGCATCGTTCATTAAAAATAGGCAACCAACAAAAACTTTTAAGCTGAACTACGATGCTCTGATTTCTTAAAAAGGATACATAGGCATTTGGTCACGGGGCTCAGGCGAGAGAAAATTTGTTAATATTTCTTCTTTTCCTCGTGTTTTCTTTTGCATGTATTCCCTATTTTCATTTTGTCCCTATCTCGTAATATTTAGATTAGAACACACCCTTTGATTAGAACAACAAGAGTGGATCCTGTGAAGTACCACAAACGCGAGGGATGCTAATACCTTCCCATTGCGTCATCGACTCCCTTACCCGTATATCTCGGTCGTATGACCTTGATTTCACCCTTCTCAGGTTTAGTCGATGTTTACCTTTCCCTTCCAGTGGGATAAAAATGTTCGATCGCGACTTTATTGATTTTCTCTCGATGATTGTTCGACCGGTTGTTTCAGCTGGCGACTACACTGGGGACAGATTGACCAAATGTTGGTCCATCCCAGAGTCACTCCTAGTTCTTGTTTTCTTTCCTTTGGGTGTATATTTATTTTAGCTTTATGTCTTATGCATATGTATATATGTTTATCTGTGTATATGTTCATATGTGTATATGTATGCATTTATCTGTATCTGGATAATTGTTTCTATTATTCTGTAATGTTGCTGTATTGTGTTGTTTCATTGGTGGGAGGGTATTCCATGAGGTAAAAGGTCCATTACCCAGGCCAGTGTACACATAGGTTAGACAAATACTCATGTCAAATCCTGTGTTATGTTGACACGTGCGAGGAGGCATGAGATACCAAACTCATACAAGGTTCTGTTGACGATGCCTTTTGCCTTGCACCTTTTGTACATAGACGAGGTGTTCGAATAGAGAAATCCCAACTCTAGTTTCCCTTAGAAGCCTTGTTCTGATTAGAATTTACCTGTGAGGTGGGGTGGAAAACTATTTTTACAGGTACATATGGTGACTATATGTTTAGATGGTGACTATATGTTCAGATGGTGACTATTTATTTTGATGGTGACCATATGATCTGTTGGTGGCTTGGGTTTCTTTGGTTTATGTTCCGGACCTTTGATTTTGGTATTCTCGGCATATTAAGAAATAGCACAACAGATTCTTCAATGTTATGGAAACCTTGATTCCATGTTATTGCACCTGCATTATAGCATTCATAAAAAATGTATACATGGAAAAAAGTTAACACACACGTTCTTCCCATTTCCAAGGAATCGTGCCTGTGAGCCTTATGTTGTGATTTTCCATCTCTTGCTGGATCAAAATCAAAATTAAAAGCATGCAGGTTTCTTGAAAATGATTGAACATGTAATTGCATCCATTTGTTTACCTCATGCATCTTCATGCATTCATAAGAGGTACTCAGAGTTGGGGAAATTCTTATTCAAGCTCGATATTCTTTTCAGAACTGTGAATCTTAACTTCTCACCGCTCCGTGATCAGAAAAAGCCATGGAACAACTTCGTGGGGAATTGGATGAGATGAAAGGTAATATGGGGTTGTGTATGGTGGACATGCAAGCAATGGCTTTGGTCAAAAATCCTTAAAGGAGAAAATGACTAGTTGAAGACCCAGTTGAGTCGAGTATGGAAGTTCTGAAGACAATGTCAATAAAGGAAAGTGATATTATATATGTTGTTGCAACATAAGCTATAAATCACCCCATCCTATGGGACTCTTTTCAAATCATGAAACACTTTGTGGGTCACATCCAGAACTTCGTGTTCCCGGATTTTCTCGTCAGTAGCTAGCTTCTAGTCTTTAAGTGAATCCATGGGGCAAAGCTTTATCAGTAGAGACAGAAGAAGCTCGAGAAGCATGTTAGTACAATCCCAATTCCTTACATCCAGTTACTTCCTCGTCTCTTGGAAATTCACTTGGTAAAATTCCGTTCTTTGGGTCTTCCTCCCACAAAACTCTCTCTTGATTTTGATGCAAATGCTAAATGTGTCTCCCATTCTAGGGCACCTGGTTATGATATTGAAGACCACGAGAGGTTAAAGTATAAAGTCCGACACTTGTTTGGCTTCTTTTTCCAAAGACCAGTCCCTATTTGGAAAATTGTTTTAGACTCTTTCTCCTCAACTGAGTGCTTCTTCTGTGTAGTAGAAGATGGGGGTGATGCTTCTGTGATGAAGAAGTATAAGATATCAAGTTCTTGGAAATATCCTGTTGTGTAGAAGGAAAATGCCTCAAAGGTCTAGTTTTACATTCAGAGTTTATTTTCTTCTGTGTAGTAGGAGATCCTTTGGTACAGTTTCAGAATATTGCTTATGTGTAGTAGAAGACGGTGCTTCTTTTGTGTGGTAGGAGATGCCCCGTAATTCAGCTATTTATTTTCTCTTCTGTGTAGTATAAGATGGTTGGTATTTCTCCTCTATAGTAGAAGATACTTTGTGATGTAGTTTATGCAAGTTTACTTGATAAAGCATTCATCACATCTTTTGATGGAATCCGATGTGATTACCATGTTGGGGCACCTAGTCATTCAACTAAAGATTGTAAATCATTTAGAGATGAAGTGCAAGACTTTCTTGATAAAAAGGTCATCAATTTCACACTAGATGGTTGGATTTAGGTTCTCCTTTGACTCAGTGGTATCAAGACTATAAAGCACATCTTCTAAAGCAATAATTTCATACGGAGTCTAGTCTCCTCAATATGGCAATTTTCTAGTTTCATTTGCATTCTCATTTGTAATCTTTCTTGTTTTGTTCAGTACTTTCTTGTATGCAAAACTTGCTTATTTTTTAATATTAATCATAATACATTGAATATGTTTATCTTGAATAAATCCATTCATATTCACTCATAAATGTTTTTCTTTACTTTTGATAATCAATTCTTGTGAACAAAGCAAATACCTCTGGAGGGAGGATGATGAATAATATACCAAAAATCTCTAGTTATATGCTCTTAAGTGAAACCTTGTTGATGATGTATATGCATTGTTTAAAATCCCCAAACACCGGAGATATAAGGGATATAGACCCTCGTCAACCACTTTGAGCCTTGAAGTAGGAGTTTCTTTTCTGTTTAGAAAAAAACCCTCATTTTTAACCCAGGGGAAGGGAAGTGTTAAGTTAATCTGATCGAGTATTCAAATCTCATCAGGAGAGTGCCTATAAGGATCAACCACAATGA